TCTGATGTGGGCTTGCGGTGTCGCATGAAAGATGGCGCGTGTTTTCGTGCTGGCTGCCGCCGCGCTGTCCTCGGATGACAAGGCCGCTTGGGCACTTGGAACACTCAGCGGGCACAAGCTTACCCAGAAGAGCTGAGAAGAACTATGTAGAAAGCGTTTTTTTAGCAGGCCACATCGTGGATAAGAGAGAACTCCAGGCCTCGCCTGACTTAACTGCATGCAGTTTTGGCTCCTTGTGGGAGCCGCCGTTTTGCTCGCGCTGTCTGACCTTTGTAACTTGCCGCCGCGGCCCACGCATCGCCTGGAAGAAAATCTGACCAGGAGGTGGGGAGATCATGAAAGTGCGTCGCACGGCATTGATCGTCCTTCTCCGCGGCCGTTGTCTTGTCATCAAGGTCTTCCTGCTGCGCCATCCCGAACCCCGACCTGCCTCTCCTTTCCTTAATCAACCAACTTACTCGGGGGGGGGATCTCCAGGCCTCACCAGATTGAACATGCAATTATGGCTCCTCGTGGGAGCCGCCGTCTTGGTCGCACGTTCTGGCCTTTGCAAGTTGCCGCTGCGGCCCACACAGCGTCTGGAAAAAAAAAAACATGTGGCCAGGGGTGGGGGAGATCATGATGAGAAGGATGGTGGTGGTGGTGACGATGAGGATGATAATACTGGTGGAAGAGGAGGTGGTGGTGATGATGACGGTGAGGATAATTTACGAGAATGATGATGGTGCGGATGATGATGATGATGATGAGGATTACGAGGATGCTGCTTCGGATGAGGATGAGGATGCGCAAGAGGAGATTGATGATGGTAATGAGGATGATGACGATGATGATGGTGATGGTGATTGTAATGATGATGATCATGATGAACATAAGTACGATGATGGTAGTGATGCTGTTAATTGCGATGATAATGATGAAGATGGTGACGGTGATGATGCGGATGATGATGCTGCGGCTGATGATGGTGTTGATGGTGATGGTGGTGGTAATGATGTCGACGAGGTTGATGATCATGATTCAGCTGATGATAATGATAAGGATTACGAGTATGAGGCTTCGGATGGGAATTATGCGGATGAGGATTACGAGGATGCGGATGAGGATGAGGTTGGTGATGCTGATGATGATGATGATGATGTTGATGATGATGATGATGATGATGATGATGATGATGATGGTGGTGGTGGTGGTGGCGGTGCTGATGATGATGATGACGATGATGATGATGAGGATGATGCGAATGACGATGATGATGGTGGTGGTTGTGATGATGCCGCTGAGGATGATGAGAATGATGACGATGCTGGGGACGGTGATCATTACGAGGATGCTGCTTAGGATGGTGAGGAGGATGCGGATGAGGAATATTATCAGGATGAGGATGCGGATGAGGATGAGGATGTTGATGATCGTTATGATGACGACGCTGATGACGATGCTGATGATGATTGTGATGATGCTGATGGTGGTGCGGGTAGTGATGATGTTTGTGGTGGTGATGTTAACAATAATGAAGATTGTGAGCACGATGGTGATTACGTGGCTGAGGCGTGGGATCAGCAGGGTGACCATGCGGATGAAGCGGTAATGGGGATGAGGATGAGGATGTTGATGAGGATGATGATGATGATGATGTTCATGTTGTTTGGATGATGATGCCGATGAGGATGATGGTGATGGTGACGCTGATGATGATGATTCTGATGATGACGGTGATAATGATGATGATGATGATGCTGATGATGATGATGATGATGATGATGCTGATGATGATGATGATGATGAAACGCATTATGATGATGATGATAATGATAATGATGAGGATGACGTTGCTGTTGATGATATACACTGACGATGAAGATACTGATGAGTATGCTGGTGGTGATGATGATGGCGACGGCGACCACGCTGACGACGACGATGGTGATGTGAAGGAGTATGATGATGTGGATGACGGGGATGTCGAGGATGCGGATGAGAATAAGGATGCGGATATTGATGCGGATGAGTATGAGGATGCGGATGCGGATGAGGATGAGGATCAGGATGTTGGTCGTGATGCTGTAAGTGTTGATGACGCTGGTGGTGATGACGATGATGTTGATGGTTATGGTGGCGACGGCGATGATAGTGATGATGAAGAGGAGGAGGAGGAGGAGGAGGAGGAGATGGAGGAGATGGAGGCGGAGGAGGTCGAGGGTGACCTGGATAATGATGACGATGCTGATATTGTTGAAGATGTTGGTACTTATGATGATGAAGATGATAGTGGCGAGTCGGAGGATGACGATAAGGATGAGGATGCGGATGAGGATGATGATGACGAGCAGGAGGAGGATGAGGAGGAGGAGGAAGAGGAAGATAATCACAAGGAGGAGGAGGAGGAGGATAATCACGAGGAGGGGGAGGAGGAGGAGGAGGAGGAGCAGAAGAAGGAGAAAGCGGGATAGAGGGAGGAGGATTTCTTGGAGCCTTTTTTGACGCCAATCTTGGAGCCGTTTCTTATTTTAATGTGACTTTCTTCCAAGGCCTGGTTGGGACCTCGTTGCCCCGACCAGCCGAAAAGGCCCCAGAGAGGGCCCAAGGCAGCCCAAGAGAACACCAAGACGGCCCAAGGGGCGGCGTCCAAGGGGGCCCCATGAGCGCCTCCAGGGGGCCTCAAGGCGGCCCAACCGCAAGGCCCCTAAACGGCCCCCCCTAGGCCCCAGAGATGTTCAAAACTACCCCCACGAGACTCCCACGAGGCTTCCCAAGGGACCCCAGCAGGCATTCAACAGAGCTCTGACTCACAACCCAGCCACGCTGGGGGGTCGGGCGTACGAGAGCCTCGGACGGTCCAAGAAGCCTCCCAGACCACCCCAAGATGGTCCGATTGGCCTCGCCAGGATCGGTGTTGGTGGATTCCTGCAAAGCCTATCCCTGCTGCTCCTGTTCTCCCCTCTGTCGACCCTGATCGTTCTGCTGTTGCTGCTGCTGCTTCTCATCGAGAAGGGCGATGGTGACTAGGGGCAGGGAGATGGAAAACACAACTTCTCGTCCTCAATATACCTATACGACCACCCTTCGTGTGATACGGAGGTTGGGGGGGAAGAGGGGGGGAACCAACACCTGACTCAATCGATCTCACTATCGATCTCTCTCAACGGGAAAACACGGGACACCACGGGACACTTGTCGATCTCACTATCGATCTCATTATCGATCTCACTCAACGGGACACCACGGGACACCACGGGACACCTGTCGATCTCATTATCGATCTCAGTTTCGATCTCTTTTTTGGGACACCACGGGACACCTCGGGGCACCACATCGATCTCAGTATCGATCTCATTAACGATCTCACTTTTTGGGACAACACGGGACACCTCGGGGCACCTCTCTATCTCAGTACCGATCTCATTTTCGATCTCACTTTTTCGGACACCACGGGACACCTCGGGGCACCACATCGATCTCAGTGTCGATCTCATTAACGATCTTACTTTTTGGGACACCACGGGACACCTCGGGACACCACATCGATCTCACTATCGATCTCATTCAACGGGACACCACGGGACACCGCGGGACACCGCGAGCCACCGCTGGACGGACGGACGGACGGACGGGCGGGCGGGGGAGAATCATTTGTCTTGACTTCGCCCTAGCAACGGCGGACACCACAGGACACCGCGGGACACCGCGAGCCACTGCCGGACGGGCGGGAGGGGGAGAATCATGTGTTTTGATTTCGCCCTAGCAACGGCGGGTTCATTCCTCTCGCGCGCCCACGCAGCTTCGCATCGCCCGCACGCACGACACGAACGAAACGAAACGATTTCCCCGTTGGGGGTCTCCGTTCCACTGCGATCTCACCCCCCAACCTCGGATCCCCAGTTAGATCTCGGCAAGTGCGGATCATTGGCATATACGGCAGTTGTTTCCCCACACCCTTGGTATCACGACGAAACGTGTACATAGGCCTAACTAGAGCCTAAGCGCGCGCGAAACGCGCGTGGTTCTAGTATGCCCATATCTATATACATATGTGTAAATAGATATGTGCGTAGACGCGGAAAAAGAGACACACACATATAGCACATCAAACACAGACACGCATAGACATGAACACAGATGCAACCATGTTCATGCATGTAATTGCTATGTGCAGAGACATGGGAGCGAGAGACAGAGAGAGCGCGCAAGTGCAGTATCAAAAGCAACATCAACACACACACCAATCGATGTGTACATATATATATGTACTGTAATAAGACTGGAGAGAGAGAGAGAGAGAGAGAGACAGAGGAAGAGGGGGAGAGATGACGCACCGCTTGCATGGTAGACGAAACCCCGCACAGCTTCGGCTCTGTTCAGCCAACTCTCGGCCACGTCGGTAGCGCCGTCGGGAAACGGATATAATCTAGCAGGCAGAAACAAATTGGATACTTGTACGGTTGGATTGGGCCGCAGAGATTGTGGACGCCGTGACCAGCTACGTAATGTTTGTTCAGTTTCTTGGTATGTCGGAGGAAGGAGGAGAAGACGGAGGAGGAAGATGAGAGAGAAGGAGTGAAAGGGGAGGGGCGAGGACTTGGCGACGATAAGACGAGAAGATACTAGTATGAGAGGATGACTGCTTTTGTTCTGGACTGATGTATTCAGTTTGTCAGTCGCATTATGCTTTTCAGCGTACGTTCATTGAAAACGCCTCTCTCTTAGGGGAAGACCCTTGTGGCTGATAGTCGATAGTCAGTCCTTGCTCTCCCATGTGTTATCGGGACGGCTGGGGGACGCTCTGTTGGGGAAGGATGAAGAGGAAGAGGAGGACGAGGAGGAGGAGGAGGAGGAGGAGGAGGAGGAGGAGGAGGAGGAGGAGGGAGGGAGGGAGGTTGGGAGAGAGGGAGGTTGGGAGGGAGGGAGCAGGACGAGCAGGAGGTGGAGTAGGAGTCGCACCATCCCTGGGGCTCGAACCTGCCCCGACCCTCGCCATTCATCCCGCTACCCGCCCGCAGGACCCGCGCGGAGGAAGCCGAAGGTCCGCGCCAGGCGCGCCCGGAGCGAGCCAGAGGGGGGCGAGCTGGCGCTGCATCCGCAACCCGTCGGGATCAAGAGGGCCGACGATGGGGACTGAGCGGGTGGGGACGATCGTGGGCAAGGAACAGACTCCGAGTTGTTCAGGAAGTGTGGGGAGGGGGGCGAGGATCGCGTGGGAGGGGGGGGGGGGGGCAATGGGCCATCTTTCGCGGGGCGCTGGTGGGGGGGACGTGACAGGGTGGGGTCGGCGCGCGTGCGGGGGGAGACGTGCCGCGGGCGGGCGGCGGCAGGTTGGGGTTTCCTCCTCCTCCTCCCTCCTCCTCTCCCCCTCCCCCTCCTCCCCCTCCCCCCCTCTCCCTCCTCCTCCCTCCCTCTCCCTCCCCCTCCTCCCTCCTCCCTCCTCCCCCCTCCTTCTCCCTCCCTCTTCCCTCCCTCCTCCGTCCTCCCTCCTCCCTCCCTCCCCCCTCCCTCCCTCCTCCCTCCTCCCTCCCTCCCTCCCTGTGGCCCCGAATCGGCCGACATCGAGAAGGGCCCGCGGCTGCGGAGCGCTGGGGCCGCTCGCGGTCGGACGGCGCCGCGCGGTGCCGGCGCCCCGCGCGGGGCGCGTCCTCCTCGGGTCCCGCGCGGCTCTGGGGTCGCGCCTCGGCCTTGGCATCGCTCGGACGTGTGCATTTTTTCCTCGGCGAGAACCATCGAGGAGGAGGAGGAGGAGGAGGAGGAGGAGGAGGAGGAGGAGGAGGAGGAGGAGGAGGAGGGGGAGGAGTGAGCAGGAGGAGGAGGAGGAGGAGGAGGAGGAGGAGGAGGAGGAGCAGGAGCAGGAGCAGGAGGAGCAGGAGGGGTGAGGGAGGGGGCCCTCGCCCTGGCTCCGCTGGGCCTCGCCCTCCCTCGCCCCCCGCGAGCGCCGGCGGGGGACCAGCCGGCGCGACCCCGTGCCTCGCGCCCCCTGGTCCTGGCATCGCTCGGACGTGTGCATTTTGTCCTCGGCGAGAACCATCGAGGAGCATCCTCGACCATCTGGCGAAAAAGCCACGCACGAAACCGAAAAAAAAGCCCAGGGAATGGACGTCCGAGCGATGGCCAGCTGGTGTGCCCCCTCCGCCAGGGACCACGACGCCTCCCTGAGCGCCTCGCTCTCCAGGGTGGTGGGCGCCGCCCGGTGCCAGGGCGGCTTCTGCCGCTCCGGGCGGGCGGACTCGGACGACGAGGAGTGAGATCGGCGGCGCGCGCGTGCGCCCGCGTGCGCCCGCGTGCGCGCGGCGCCCGCGTGCGCCAGGGCGGCCCTTCTGCCCGTCGGGGCGGGCGGGCTCGGGCGCTGACGAGTCGAGCGGCGCGCGCGGTCGGAGGGTCCACCGCGCAGGGAAGCGAGGGGGGAGCGGCGGGATCGAGGTTCGGGGGTCGACCCTCGAGTCTGGACGCCCGAAATGGGCACGGAAATAATGGGTACAATGCCCAACAGCAGTTCCTGCTCATTTTGAACAGGATTCGCTGTCCACGCCGCCGCGGTCTGTGTCCATTTGAGACAGAAGGCCGCCTGCCCAACAGCGGCCGCTGTTGGTTTGGGACAACATTTGTTGTTGGGCATTGTGCCCATTCTTTCCGTACCCATTTCGGGTGTCCAAATCGAGGATCGGGGCTTTCGGTCGTCCTTCGCCCTTCTTGGGCATCCAGAGGGGGTCACGTCGCTACGGCTGGGTCCGGCGAGGGATGCTAGCCAAATGGGCCCCGTGCACAGGCCAGTGGACTGGTTGAACAAGGAGGTGGATGAGGACGGGAAGTAAGAGCAGGCAGAGCAGGAAGAAGATGATGACAAGGAGGAGAGGGTGAGGATGAGGATGAGGATGAGGATGATGCTGATGATGATGATGATGATGATGATGTTGATGATGATGATGATGGTGATGATGATGATGATGATGGTGTTGATGCTGATGCTGATGCTGATGCTGATGCTGATGATGATGATGATGACGATGACGATGACGATGACGATGCTGATGATGAAGATGATGATGATGATGATGATGATGATGATGATGATGATGATGATGATGATGCTGATGATGATGATGATGATGATGCTGATGATGATGATGATGCTGATGATGATGATGATGATGATGATGATGATGATGATGATGCTGATGATGATGATGATGATGATGATGATGATGATGATGATAAGGAGGGTGATAATGAGGATGATAATGAGGATGATAATGAGGATCATGATCAGGATGATACTGAGGAGAAGGAAATTTGTGGAGGATGATTCGAGGGTTTATGACAGAAGCATGAGGAGACAGGAGGGGGAGGAGGAGGAAGAGAACAAGGATGATATTCTTTGTTGGTAGCGCGCCCCCTATCCGCTACAGACAGGCGCGAGTCGAACGTTCCTTGATGGTCTTCGGCCCATTCCGCCACTGTGCCTGGGTTGTGGGTCAGAGTTCTCAGGGATGCTTGTTGGGGTCTCTTCGGAGCGCTCTCGGGGGCCTCTTGGTGGGCAGTTTTGTGGCCTCTTGGGAGCCTCTTGGTGGCCTCTCGGGGACCTCTTGGGGGCCTCTTGGGAGCCTCTTGGGGCCTCCTGGCTGCCCCTTGGGGCCTCCCGGGAGCCCCCTGGGGCCGAGGGCTCGAAATGGCCGTTCAGGTCCCCCATCTGGGCCCCCTCGTGGAGCCGTCGTTGGGGCCTCTTGGGCCATCTTGGGCGCCTCGTGGGCCGTCTCGGCGCTCTCTAGGGCCGTCTTGGGGCCCTCATAGAAGCCTCTTGAGGTGTCTTGGGGGCCTCTTGGGCAGTCTTGGGGCGTCGGGAAGCCGACAAGGCGAGAAGGCCAAAACCTTCAAACACATACGGAATATCAATGACGTGTGCTTCCTGGGGCTCTCTTGGAACGCCTCTTGGACCACTGTTGGGACGTCCTGGGGGCCTCTTGGGCAGTGTTGAGGCTATCTTGGGCGTATTGGGGCGATACTTCGGCAGCTCGCCTCCTCCTCCTCCTCCTCCTCCTCCTCCTCCTCCTCCTCCTCCTCCTCCTCCTCCTCCTCCCCCTCCTCCCCCTCCTCCTTCTCCTCGTCCTCCCCCTCCTTCTCCTCGTTCAAGGGGCCCTCGGGGCCCGTCTCCGGGCCCTCCTGGGGCCGAACAGGTCACGCGACAGCGCTTCCCGGCTTCCCGGGGCCCATTGGGGGCACGCGCCAAGCCCGAGAAGTTTTGGGACTTTGGGGCCCCTGGCCCCTACAGTTCTTCAGAGTTGAGGACCTTGGCATCGCTCGGACGTGTGCATTTTTTTCTCGGCGAGAAGCATCGAGAACCATCCTGGACCATGGAGCAAAAAACACACGCACGAAACCGAAAAACGCACAGGAAATGGACGTCCGAGCGATGGCAAGGGACTGAGGCTCAGGGGGATGAGACAAAGGACCCGAGGACAGGCCCAACCCATGTCCAGGGGGGCGGTGGCGGATGCTGGCTTGACTGGTCGACCTCGTTGATTGTATTCGCCGTCGTCGACGGCGCAGGCGACGGCGAAGAGAGTCGACGACGGTTGCGATGGCGACTGCACTGCCGACGACGGGGCCGAAGGCGATCGCGGCGAAGACACTGACGACTGATACGGACATAGGTTACTGGCAAGATTGGCAGAGGCAGAATCCGATGGCTCTGCCACCAGACGTGTTAGGACTGGAACGATGATAACTGCACCGCAAGCACGCAATGTCGAACAGGGCCGCCCTCCATCCATGCAGTTGTTGAACCCGTTCATTCGCAGGAGCATCGCGTCCTGGGGGACACCAGGCAGTGGCTCGGTTCTGAACAGGGGCCGCCCTCCCTCCCGTGCGTCCGCGGGGAACTGCTCAGCCTCTGTATCGCAAGCTTGCTTGCTTGTGTGTGTGTGTGTGTCAGGAGGGAAAACACACACAGACACAATTAATCGTCGACTCCCAGGAAAATGTAGGAAAATATGGGAAGTGGGGGGGAAGACAAAAACCCAGAAAATATGAGGAAATATGAAGAATATTTGTATTTGTGTGTATTTGTTTGTGTGTCCCAGGGCCCCTTCAATGTGTGTCCTCCGTAGCCTCTCTCAACGGCTCGGGGCGCGCGCGCTCGGCGGCGCGGCATGCGACGGCCGCGCTGCGACGCCCGGCCGCCGCCGGCGGGTGCGCGCCGCCGCCGCCGCCTGGGCTCGGAGCGCCCCCGCCATGCCGGCTGCGCAGGGCGTGCCTAAGGCCTTATCAGCCTCGAACGTATCCCTGTCTCTAAGATTGACACGCCCAAAGGCGATGACAATCTTAGGGATCCGCCCTCAAAAAACAAGGGAATCCCTAAGATCGGCATCGTGATGAGGAGGTGCCCAGCAGAGGGATAGGGATGTGTTCCAGGCTGGTAATAAGGCCCCGGCGGCCCGTGCCAAGGCGGCAGCCAAGGCGTCCATCTCCGCGCCCCCGCGCCAGTCGCCGGCCGGCCCGGCGCCCGCAGGCGCGGCGGCCGGCCGGGTGCCCGCGGCCGCGGCGAAGAGGAGCGATGCGAGGGCGGACGACGATGATGATGATGCCGATTCTCCGGGCGGCAACATCGTCAGTAACAAAGACCTCCTTCGCAAGATGATGGCAGGCATCTCCGACGCGGAGTCGGCTTCTGGCGGCGAGGACCCGGAGGATGGAGGCGACGATGCGCGGGGCCAGTTCGCCATGAGTTGGAGGCGTGGTGTCCCTGGTGCACAGCAGCCCGCTCAGCCCGTGCTCACCATCTCGAGCCCGAGCGCGCAGCGGCCACGCCCTTCTGCGGTGGCCAAGGCAGCAGCCTCGATCGGGCCCGCCAGCCCGTCTCCTGCGGTGACGAGGGCGTCGGCCCCGAAGGCGGTGCCGCCTCCCGCCGCCGCGCAGAGGGCCGCCGCGCCGAAGGTCGCCTCCAGCGCCACGGTCGGCCCGCCGAAGCCGGGCACCACTGTCGCAGTGCCGGCCAAGGCGAGCAGCAGCTCTGCGGTGCCCCCGCGGGCAGGCGGCGTCCTCACGGGACCGCCGAAGCCCGCGGGCGCCAGCGGGCCGCCGCGCCCTGGCAGCCGCGGCGGCATGCCCGAGGTGCAGCAGGTGGCGACACCATCAGGCAGGCGGAGCACACCCGGGCTCGCGGGCGCCAGTCCCACCGGCTCCGCGCGGAGGCCCTCTGGCAGTTACGGCGGCATGCACGCGGCGCGGTCGAGGCCGTCGCAGCCGCCCAGCCCCGCCGCTGGCACCGGCGCGGGGCCAGCTCTGAAGCCGCGCTGCGGACCGCAAGCGTTTGCGGCGCTGGCTTCGCAGGCAGGGCCGGCGGCTGTCCACGCTGGCGCCGCCCCGGCAGACGGAGGCGGGTTCGTGATGCCGCCGGATTCGGACGACGAGGGCAGCGTGGGAGAGCGTGCCACCCTGGCTACTGGGGCCAGTGCGGCGCCCGCAAGGGCCGGGTACCCAGCAGGGGGCGCCGCGCCCCTTGCTCCCGCGGCCACACAGCTGCCAGCGGCGGGGGGGGCGCAGGCACAGGCGAGGCAGGCTGGCGCCGGCACTGCGGCGCTGCTGCCCGGCGAGACGCCGGCCGAGTACGTGGAGCGCATGAAGAGAGATCTTTCTGGCGCCACGACCGGCGCCTCTGGGCAGTCAGGCTCGCCAGAAGCGCCAGCGGCCGCGCGCGCGCCAGCGGCGCCCGTGCAGGCAGCGGCGACTCGCGGCGCGAATGGCCAGAGGGCCACCGCTGCGCCCGCCTCAGAGGGGGACGGCTCCGAGGAGGAGTCGGAGGACGACGGCGCCGCCTGCGCCGGGAGGGGCGGAGTTCCCTGGAAGGCCAACGCCGCTGCCGCAGGCGGCGGCGTGCGGCAGATGGTCCAAGAGTTCGCGCGGGAGGAGCGCGCCCGCGAGAGCCGAGGGCCGCCTCGCCAGCAGCAGGGGGGCGTGGCTTCCCGCACCCGGCCGCCGAAGGCGCCGCCGGCCGCCGCCGCAACGCCGCCAGCCGAGGCGAAGGCGCAGGCCAGCCCGACCAGCGCCGTCCGCCCGGGAGAGGAACTGCAGTTCAGCAGGAAGCCGAGGCCCGTGGACTTCGCGCCCGCAACGCTGGACGAGTACAAGAACAAGTACGGCGAGAAGGGGGCGAAGCAGGAGCTCGGGAAGCTGGGGGCGGACCTAGACGATGAGGAGTTGCAGCTGAAGAAGGCCGTCCAGATGCGGACCAAGCAGTACTGCGCAGCCGTGCACGCGGTCAACCGCGAGAGAAGCCTCTCCTCTGGCCCCCCCCGCAAGGCGGAGCCCAAGCCGGAGCCGAAGTCCAACGCCCGCGCGAAGGCGGCAGAGTTCGCCAAGAACATCCCCAAGCCAGCGCCGAAGCCAAAGGCAGAGCCCAGCCCTTCCGAGACGAGGAAGCCCGAGGTGCGCGGCCCGTCCCCCGAGGACCTGGCGCGGGCGGACCTGGAGGAGATCGCGCAGCGGGAGCAGCAGCACTTTGCGGACCTGGCCAGGGTGCGGCAGATCAAGGAGTTCCTCCACGCAGTCGAGGTGGGGTGAGCCGCCGGCGCTGCCAGGCAGCGGCGCCTCCCAGCACAGGGCCCGGCCGCCGCGCTCCCCCTCTCGCCCCTGATTCGGGGGGTCCGAAGGGGAACGAGCAAGTCTGTGAATCACCACCCACCAAACCACCCCAACCCAACCCGAAGGCTCTGATTTACCCTGGATTTCCACTGGGGGGGGGGGGGTCGGGAAACATCGACAAGACACACATGTAGAACCCTTACCCCCCCGACCCGAAATTCGGGTCTTCGGGTTGGGTTGGGGTGGTCTGGTAGGCAGTCTGTGAAGGGTCGGGCTGGCTGCGGCCCCGCTCTGCCCAGGCACTGCCCGAGGCGCCTGGAGAGGCAGGCGCGCGCGGTCGAGCGGCCCAGGCCGCCATGGCGGGGGCGACGGGAGGAGAGCGCGCCCCGCGGCCGCAGGCCGCAGGGGCTCCCTTCACTCGGGGGTGGACAGGCCTCCTACCCCTGACACGTCGATTAAGGAATTGGCCGTGTTCGCTTCGCGAGAGGGCGTCGCGGCCGTCGTTTTTGCGGCTCCGTGCCCGTCGTTTTCGGTCCCAGGCCGTTTTCGCTAAGGGGAGGTCTACTAAAGGGAGGTTTGGCCACCGCCGATTCACCAGGGCGCCGGCGCGGGGTCGCGAGGGCAGCCGCGCGTCGCGCATCGCAGGGCGCCAGGGCGCGACGTCGGTTACCAGCCTCGAACGTATCCCTATCCCTAAGATTGGCACGCCAAAAGGCGATGACAATCTTAGGGATTCGCCCTCAAAAAATAAGGGAATCCCTAAGATTGGCATCGTGATGAGGAGGTGCCCAGCATAGGGATAGGGATATGTTCCAGGCTGGTAAGTCGGGTGGTCCGGGTCCGCTGAAAGGGAGGAAGAACCACCCGGACCGGACAATTGGCGTTGACCAAGCGGTCCTGGGCGCTTGCTAAGCAGCCCTGCCCTGTTTGATTCCTTCTGTGGGCGCGTTTACTAAACGGCTTCGCTTGTCAGGCTTGGCATCGCTTGGACATATGCATTCTTCCTTCGGCGAGGACCATCGAGGAGCATCCTTGATCATTTGGCGAAAAAACGCGCACGAAACCAAATAAAAACACAGGGAATGGACGCCCGAGCGATGGCCAGCTGGGGGGTCATTACCGGGGTGGCTTTTCTGCCCTCTATAGGACCACGTCCGCCCCCTACAGGGGGATTTTCAATGAAAAATAAAGAATACACCAAAACTACACCAAAAATACACCCAAAATTGTCCAGGGGTCTTCTCGGGGTATTTCCCAACCATCCTGTGGTGTTGGGTCCTCGTTTTGAAGAGACGGTGCCCCGCGTTCCTCTCCTCTCCTCTCCTCTCCTCTCCTCTCCTCTCCTCTCCTCTCCTCTCCTCTCCTCTCCTCTCCTCTCCTCCCTCCTCTCCTCACCCACCCAGTACACCGTTTCGTGGCTCCATAGGGAGCTCCACCGAAGGCCCCAGTGCCCGCGCCCGCATGCGTCACCCACACCCATTTCGGCACACCCCTCACACGTTTCGTGGCTCCATAGGGAGCTCCACCGAAGGCCCCAGTGCCCGCGCCCGCATGCGTCACCCACACCCATTTCGGCACACCCCTCACACGTTTCGTGGCTCCATAGGGAGCTCCACCGAAGGCCCCAGTGCCCGCGCCCGCATGCGTCACCCACACCCATTTCGGCACACCCCTCACACGTTTCGTGGCTCCATAGGGAGCTCCACCGAAGGCCCAGTGCCCGCGCCCGCATGCGTCACCCACACCCATTTCGGCACACCCCTCACACGTTTCGTGGCCCCATAGGGAGCTCCACCGAAGGCCCCAGTGCCCGCGCCCGCATGCGTCACCCACATTTCGGCACACCCCTCACACGTTTCGTGGCTCCATAGGGAGCTCCACCGAAGGCCCCAGTGCCCGCGGCCGCATGCGTCCCCCACACCCATTTCGGCACACCCCTCACACGTTTCGTGGCTCCATAGGGAGCTCCACCGAAGGCCCCAGTGCCCGCGCCCGCATGCGTCACCCACACCCATTTCGGCACACCCCTCACACGTTTCGTGGCTCCATAGGGAGCTCCACCGAAGGCCCCAGTGCCCGCGCCCGCATGCGTCACCCACACCCATTTCGGCACACCCCTCACACGTTTCGTGGCTCCATAGGGAGCTCCACCGAAGGCCCCAGTGCCCGCGCCCGCATGCGTCACCCACACCCATTTCGGCACACCCCTCACACGCTTCGTGGCTCCATAGGGAGCTCCACCGAAGGCCCCAGTGCCCGCGCCCGCATGCGTCACCACACCCATTTCGGCACACCCCTCACACGTTTGGCTCCATAGGGAGCACACCCGCTGCACACGTCACACGTTCGTGGCTCTCCATGCATGCCCCACACCCATTTCGGCACACCCCTCACACGTTTCGTGGCTCCATAGGGAGCTCCACCGACGGCCCCAGTGCCCGCGCCCGCATGCGTCAGCCACACCCATTTCGGCACACCCCTCACACGTTTCGTGGCTCCATAGGGAGCTCCACCGAAGGCTCCAGTGCCCGCGCCCGCATGCGTCAGCCACACCCATTTCGGCACGCCCCTCACACGCTTCGTGGCCCATAGGGAGCTCCGCCGAAGGCCCCAGTGCCCGCGCCCGCATGCGTCAGCCACACCCTTTCGGCACGCCCCTCACGCGTTCCGTGGCCCCATAGGGAGCTCCGCCGAAGGTCCCAGTGGGTGTGCTCGCATGCGTCCCGCACACCCATTTCGGCACACCCCTCACACGTTTCGTGGCCCCATAGGGAGCTCCACCGAAGGCCCCAGTGGGTGTGCCCGCATGCGTCCCGCACACCCATTTCGGCACACCCCTCGTACGTTTCGTGGCCCCGTAGGGGGCTCCACCGAGAAGATATTCACAATTGCAGTATTCACAATTGCATATGGTTGGGTCCTTCGCCAGGATAATTTTTATTTTTCGTCGAAAATCCCCCTGCCGACTTAACTCTGGACCCCGTCCGCCCCCCCCCCCCCCCAGCCAGCACGCCCTCGGCCACGCAGGAATTCCTCTGCACGGATGTGTCCCTGGAGGGTTTCTCCGAAGGGCTTAGGCGACCCGTCCTCCTCCTCTCCCCTTCTCCTCTTCCTCCCTCCTCCTCCTCCCTCCTCCTCCTCCTCCTCCTCCTCCTCCTCCTCCTCCTCCTCCTCCTCCTCCTCCTCGGGTCGCCTACGGCCCCGGGGGAAACCGTGCATGTGCCCCCCGCGGCGGCCGCGCGCCGCAGGCCGCGGGCGCCCGCGCGGCGCGGCCCGGCCGCGCGGGGGTTCCTCGCCTGCTGCAGCCTTGGCCGGCGCCCCGCCCCTGGAGGCCCCCTTTCTGGGGAGCGTAAGACCGGAGTCCTAGAGATTGACAACAACACCAAGATCGGCGGTGTGCCTCCACCGAGGGAGGACGATCCCGATCTCGGTGATGGTGGTAATATTCTGGCTTCCAAGGTGGCCGAAATATTGCCACCAACACCGAAATCTAGGATCATGTTTTCCATGTGGAGGCAATCCCCTGTGCTGGTGTTGGTGCCAATGTCCAGGCCTCCAAGACCCGGGTTTGCCAGGACTCGGGTTCGCCATGGCTTTTTGACGGCCGCGATTCGGATTTTGACGGGTAGGGGTTTCGTGGGACGTCTGCAGCGGGAGGCCTCGTCAAAATGCAGGCTCGGCCTCGTCAGTTTTTGTTGACGACCTCGTCGGGGATTTCCGAGTCCCCTGTACCCGGGTCTTACGCCCCCCTGACTCTTGCCAGCGCAGAAGGATGCAGCCAAGATCGCTGGAAGAAGGAACAGTTTGGATTCGGGAGGGGCTCGATGTTCCTTGCGTCCTTCCGCGGCGGTTCTTCTATGTCTATAGCCCTTCTCGTGCACCCAGCGCAGAAGGAGGCAGCCAAGACGCCGAGATCAGTCGGGGAAGCGCAAGACTCGAGCAAGCCGGAGCTCGGGGTAAAGCCGACGCTTTTTGACGAGCGCGTCCCGGATTTTCACGGTCTGGTTTTCGTGGCATGTCTGCAGCGGGAGCCCACGTCGAATTGCAGATCGGGTCTCGTCATTTTCATGATGGTCCTCGTCAGGCCAACCCGAGTCCCCCGCACCGGAGTCTTACGTCTCCCCCAATAAGGAGCAGTTTGGATTCGGGAGGGGCTCGATGTTCCTTGCGCACTTCCGCGGCTGTTCCTCTATGTCTATAGCCCTTCTCGTGCACCCAGGCTTTTTTGAAGCCGTAGAGGCACTTCGTTCCTTGTTTAGCGTTCCTTCTTTCAGCAGCCCGACTGTACGCTCCGCCCCCCTCAGCTCATTCCCTCCGCCCTTCGCCAGCAGGAAGCACCGGGATTCTGGAGGGAGGGGGACCTGGAGTTTCCTCCCAGTGTTCAGGCTCCCGGGGACCTCTCTGGGCACCAAGACCGTCAAAGACGAGCCATAATCAAGAGCCAGTCCCAAAGCCCTTGAGCCCCAGACTGGTTTCTATTGGGCCCTGTTTCCCTCAGGCCAAGCCCTCCTGCCCTTCCGCCTCCCTTTCCTTTCTCATCCCCCCCCGCCACGCGAGTTCTTCCCACTACAGCTACACAACACGAATACGACTCTCCTCTCTCCCCTGAGGACGTCCAGAAGATATCCGGCCCCACTCCGCGTATTTTTCTTATACACAGGATTCCCTGGAAAGGGGTTTTCGCTTTGTTTTTTGTTCAAATATTGCTCCCGCTGAAGCGCTGGCCTCCTTGTTGGTTCGGGCTTCCACTCGTTCAGATTCGGGTTCACCCTGCAGCGTTGGCATCATTTCCGCTCTTCCGCTCGTTCCGAATCGTGTTCCCGGTTCCCGCTGCAGCGTTGGCCTCATTTCCGCGTTTCCGCTCGTTCAGAATCGTGCTCCCGCTGCAGCGTTGGCGTCATTATTTCCAGTGCCATGCAACGGCATGTTTTGGGGTGCTTCCAAACAGACCCCCAAATCTAGAAAATGCCATCCCGAAAAAAACATCGCAAGTGAGTACACATTCGGATGTTATGCCATGTAATGCTATCTGTGAATCTGTGCCATGCCACGACATCCGACTGTGCGAGTAGAGAGGAGACCTGCGCCACGGTAAGGGATAGCAGGGAGGGGTAGGACGACAGATATGACGCACGCGCACTTGGCTTGCCCTCTCCCCCCGCTCTGCCTCTCCCCCTCGCTGGCGACGAGCCCCCCTTGCCAGCGCCAAAAGACGGCGCCCTGGTTTCCTGCATACTCCAGATTTCGTAATAAAAGGGAGGGGGTCTGGACCCTCCAAGACGAGCCATTTCAGACCCCCCCTCGTGGGAGAACCCTCCAAAACATCGTCCGTCCCCAGACCACCCCAGGCCCTCCAAGATAGCCTGGAAGAGACCCCCCCCGAAATGTGACCCCCTCCCTTTTGTCACGAGATCAGGAGTAGCTTCGGTCAGCCTATGCGCGGTGTTCGTGGCTTATGGAAGCGGAGCATGCTGTCTCACGGGCCAGCCAGCGTCCTTCCAGCATCCCTCCAGCTTTCTTTTCTTCAGAGTGAGGGGGGCCGAACGGTCATCCGTCGTCCCCGGGTGCGCAGCTGCAGTGAGGCCCCGCCGTGGAAGCTCGTGTTGCCTCTTGTTGGTCGTTGTTGATTGCTGTCCGTTTGTTTCTGTGTTGTTGATGGTGGTGTTGTCGGCGTTGCTGGTGCTGGTATTATTGTTGGGGTTGTTGTTGTCGTTGTCGTCGTTGTTGTTGGCGGTAGTGTCGTTATGGTTGTAATTGAAGTTGGTATGATTGCTGCTGTTGCTCCGTCACTGCTGCTATTGTTGCTGTTGTTGTTAGTGTTGTTGTGGTTGCTGCTTTTGCTGTTGCTGCTGTTGGTGTGGTTGTTCATATGAATCATTGTTGTTGTTGTTGTTGTTGCTGTTGTTGTTGTTGTTGTTGGTGTTGGTGTTGGTGTTGGTGTTGGTGTTGTTGTTGTTGCTGTTGCTGTTGTTGTTGTTGTTGTTGTTGTTGTGTTTGCTGTTGTTGTTTGTTGTTGTTGTTGTTGTTATTGTTGTTGTTGTTGTTGTTGTTGTTGTTGTTGTTGTTGTTGTTGTTGTTGTTGTTTTTGTTGTTGTTGGTGTTGTTGTTGTTGTTGTTGCTGTTGTGGTTGTTGACGTTGGTGTTGCTGGTATTGTTGTTGCTGCTGTTGTTTTCGTCGTTGTCGTCGTTGTTGTAATTGTTGTTTGGGCCCCTAGTCCACCCGTTAACAATAACGGCTCCCGCGTGATATTTCCTCACACTTGATTTCAAATACGCCCTCTCGCGCGGGACTTCCTCAGAATGTATGGAGGGATCGCGCCCTCGCGTGGGACTTCCTCAGAATGTATGGAGGAATCGCGATCTCGCGTGGGACTTCCTTGCAATATATTGAAGCGTCGCGCCTCCCGTCGTAGAATCAGCGTGCTGGTGGTAGCAGTAGTAGTAAGACTTCTAGTATTGAGGGTCGTACCTCCGACGATCCGATTATGTTCAATCCGGGGCGTGTTGCTTCGATGTCGACCTGGAGACGACATCGGGCCCCAGGACCCTCCCAGGGCTCATTTCGACTCCTCCGATTCGATTCGATTCGATGTCGATGGCTTCCGATTCCGATTCGATTCGACTTGGGATTCCGATTCGGATTCCGACTTCTTATGGGACGCATAGTAGTTTGCCGATTTCCGCCGATCCGACGTTTCCCGACTCGGCTGCCGATTTTCGCCGATCCGATCCATTTCGATCGCCGATCCGACTTATCGATTCGATTATGGGCTCTCCTGCCCTCCAAAAAATTGCCCCGGGGAGGAGGACTGGCGCCCGACAAGGGGCCGGGGGGGCCGCAGGGGCCGCGCGCGACAGGTATCACAAGCCACGTCGTCGGGTGTCTTGGGGAGGCGCGAGGAAGGGACCTGTTCCAGGGGGGGGGGGGGGGGGGGGGGGGCATTTCCGCGTTCCTAGTCTTCCCAGACATCGGGCGTCTCGAAAAAATCGAGACAGAGGTTTTTCATAGTTTTTGGCCTTTCGGGGCCCTCGCCGGGCCTCGGGACCGTCAAAAAACGACTCGGGATGAAAAACCGGTCCCAGGAAGTGGTCGGGAGGTCGGGGGCCCGCGTCTCGAAAAAATCGAGACGTCGGATGTCTGGGTTCGGAGTTCCGAGGCCTCGCGGTGGCCCCAGCGCAGAGGCCTCCGAGATGACCCCGGACCGCCCGGGACCGCCCCGAGGCGGCCCCGAATCCCACCAGGACAGCCCCAAGACGGCGCCAGCGATGAAGAGTCTGTGGGAGAAAACAACACAACCCACACACAGTCTGTGTGTGTGTGTTTTTTCCCACAGTCTCGGTGTTTTTTCCCACAGTCTGTGTGTGTTTTGTTCCCACAGTGTGTGTGTGTGTGGTTTCCCACAGTTGTGTGTGTGTTTTTTCCCAGAGTGTGTATGTTTTTTCCCACTGTGTGTTTTTTCCCGTGAACTTTGGGGGCTCAGGGGCGGATTGGCCCCTCGGAACCGCGCAAGAGCTCCTCCGACCCACTGTGGGCCTCCGGGCGCGTCAGTCTCCAAGATCCCCCCGGGAGCCCGAGACCGAAGGCTCGCCCCCCGCTGGACCCGAGCGAGCCCGGCACCACAGACCAGGAGCACGACACGATGCCCCAAGATGCACCCAGGAGGCCGCGAAGCCAAAACGAGCACGAGGCACTTTCAAAACTGCTTTCAGGAGACCCTGCCCCCCCCCCCCCCAAACGTGGTTTATGGTCCTGGCCCCCCTCCTGCTAATCTGCCCCGGCCCGTGCTCCATCCTTCTCCCTCCCCTTTCAATCCATCCTCTCTTCCCCCGTTTGAGGGGCTGCGCCAACTACTCGCGGCAGGTAGGGAATATATACTCCCAAGGGGGGTACGATCGAAGACGAAAGAACCGGGTATCGAAGGTTCGATATACACGTGTCGAATTGCACGCGAGCAGGTGAGAGCGAAGAGTCTTGAATCGATTGTTATTGTTGGTGGTGGTAGGGGTGTTGGTGTTGGTGTTGTTGTTGTTGCTGCTGATGTTGTCGCTGCTGTTGTTGTTGGTCTTGAATTTCTATGTCCAGGGAGCAAGTATTGCTGATCCCCCTGGTGACCATTGCATTCTTAAACTAAAGTGCCTCTCCCGGGCTCGCAGGCTTTTTTTAAAGCAAGGGTAAGCGAGGGATCACCACACTGCGTTGCTGGCCCCCGGTTTACAACAACGACGGATCCCGCCTGGTATTTCCTCACTACAGTCGGGGCTCTGAAGAATGAACCCTTTTCGTTGGGGAGGGGCTCCGCGTTCCTTAAGTGTTTCGCAGCTTGTCTCAGGTTTTCCTTATGTTTTCGATCGGAAATGGAACTTCAACTTGTGGGAAAAAGGGGCCTCGTTCCTTATTTTGGGTTCCTCAGGTCAAGGCCCCGACTGTATTGATTCCCAAATCGCGCTCTCGCGCCGGACCTCCTCACAATGTATCCAGGAATCGAGTTCTCGCGCTGGATTTCCGTACAATTACAGTGCTCTTCCCTGGGCACGCACCCTGTTTTTTACGAGGGAAGGCGACGTGTCACCAAACTGGGCCCCTGACCCCCGAGCTACGACAACAACAACGGCTACCGCCTGATATTTCCTCACCGTTTATGTGTAAATAGCGCTCTCGCGCAGAACTTCCTCACAAGAACACGTTTCTTTATTGCTTGGGGCATGACGGGCGTCATGGCCCCCGGCCCCGCCCCTTACGACGTAACGCTCCCCCCCAGTGCGTTCCGGGCACTGCCGCCGTGCGCATCGTGATCCGCATAGGTGTCCGCATAGCGGCATTCGGTGGCGCTTGCCGTGCCACGAAGGGTCGTTGTGCGATCTCGCGTAAAACCCGCCTCTTTTCATTGATGATGTTGTTGGTGGTGGTGTTGATGATTACTGTTGATGCCGATGATTGTGACATGGTGATGGTGAGGTTCCTGATCATTGTGGTATGATGAGAGCCATGGTGAAGATATGGATGCATATTACAATGTTGATGGTGATGGTGACGACGACGATGATGATGATGATGATGGTGCCGATGGTGGCACAGATGATGATGACGCTGAGGAGGATGATGGCGGTGATGATGATGATGATGACGATGATGAGGCTGATGACGACGAGGCGGTCGATGTGGAGCAAGAGGAGGAGGAGGTGGACGAGGAGGAGGATGAGGAGGAGGAGGAGGAGGAGGAGGAGGAAAAGGATGACCCTCACGTGTGAAAAAGAGTCAGGATGACGATGATGAATCGTCTGTTGATGGGTGGGGCAATAATGATGATGATGATGATG